TACCCTGATACACCAACCACTGTACCTAATCTAGCTCCCCTTATCCTTACAGGTGCCCACGATCCAAGTGCCCACATCAGTACCGGACACACCTACAGTACTATCACCAGCTTCACCAGCTTCACCAGCTACACCAGCTTCACCTACAACTTCAACAGCTTTACCTGCATCAATGGCATCGCTTGCTGATATCCAAACCCTCATTGAACAACTGGAGGCTAGAATTGAGACCAAAATGAATGAGGCCCTGGCCGCCCAAAGGGCCGCCCTGATAGCTGAATTAGGTAATGGGAATGGTAATGGGAATTCGGCCGGAGGAAGTGGTCCTGCTGCCTCTAATCAGGGACATACTGCTGAACCAACAAACCCTACCCTAAACTTGGATGATGTGCCTTCCAAAACTGCCTCCGAGCTGGAAGCTCAGAGAATGAGAGAGAAGCTAGCCTTCCAAAACTGCCTCTGAGCTAGAAGCTCAGAAAATGAGAGAAAAGCTAGAACTCTTAGAAAGGTCTGTTACCGCCCTCAAGACACACAAAGAGTGGTGGACATGGACTCCTTGTCTCTGTTCCCCGAAGCAAGACTGCCAACCAAATTCAAAATGCCCAACATGGACAAATTCGATGGAACTACTTGACCAAAAACTCACTTGAAAATGTATGTGGGTGCCCTTAACCCATTTGGATTGAACAGCGAGCTCCTTGCTCAGTTGTTCCAACAGTCACTCACCGGCGCTGCTCTGAGATGGTTTGTCAGTTTGGACCGATCTAAAATGAAAACTTGGGGAGACATCTGTAATGCCTTCAATTCACAGTACCACTATAACATGGAGGTGGATGTCACTCGAAGAGAACTAGAAACCACCAACCAAAAAAGCAATGAACCCTTTTCCTCGTTCCTTACGAGGTGGAGGGCCAAGGCCGCCCAGATGATTAACCGGCCCTCTGAGCAAGAGCAGGTAGACATAGAACAGGTGGACATTATAATAAAGAACCTACAACCAGTCTACCAACAGCAACTACAAACCGCAGTAACCTACTAACATTTTCCATCGCTCCATGGCCCATGCTGACAAAAGGTTGAGGATCTGATTCTAAAATTGGGGCAACTGAAAAGAAGACTCAGGAACCTCGAAGTATGAGAAACCTAGCCAAGCTAGTATAAGTCCACGAAGTGGGCAAGCTCACCCCCACTAACACCTTTACTGTGGGAAACATGAGAAATGGCATCAGTCCAGAAACCTATACTGATCTCGGGATGCCCAATCCTTTTGGTCTTTCCGAGAGCTTCAAGGCCAATTACATTAAAGCCTTTGGAAGCAAGGCCACCACAACCCCATTACCAAGAATTTTACAAAGCTGAATGAACTACTTGTGAAGTACCCATCAGGGGTAGGGTCACAGATGAAGCGTGTTGCGCTTAAGAACCGTATCCAGGACTTGCGTGGAGCAACGGCTCTATATTCCAAGAAGTAAGGCCAAACATTAAAGCACTTAATCCCCTTAACCAAATCCATGGGTAATGCTATTGTTGCTGACCAAGGAACTGTGATGCGATCCTTTCGAACTATTCCTAGAAATGAACAACATCTGTGTCTTGGACTGAATACCTTAACCGAAAGAGCTTGATGCCATAACCAGGAGCGGAAGACACATATGAACCGTTGGTCTGGATAAGATCCCAAATAAACCCTAATCAAGAGGGGTAGAGGAGCTAACAAGAAGACCCGGTATCCTTGCAATCAGCTAAAAAGCACAAGCCTATGGGTATCAATCTGGGAACTTCTAGCATCATCCTTTCCTCTCGCCAAGCTCTTTGCAAGGCTTGAGTCAACTTCAGACAATCAAGTGGAAGTTAGCCCCGCGAAGTGCTTAGTATCCACCCTTACCCAATCATTCCAAGATACACGAGCATCAAGGTTTTCTGATGACGACTTCCTACCCAAGGAGGGAGGCAGCCATAATAACGCCCTGTATGTCATTGTCCAGACCAGAGACAAAACTGTGCCCATGGTTCTCATTGATAATGGGTCAGCACTAAACGTCTGCCCACTAAGGGTAGCCAGCTGTCTAGGCTTGGAGGAAACAGATTTCACTCCGTCGGACCAAATAGTGAAAGCTTATGACAGTACCCGAAGAGAAGTGTTGGGGGTTGCTACGCTGAAATTAGCAGTTGGGCCGGCTGTGATGGAAGTCCCATTCCAGGTCATTAATGTACCGACTAGCTTCAATCTGCTTCTGGGCCGACCCTGGATACATCACACTAAGGCAGTACCCTCATCCTTGCAGCAAAAAGTCAAGTTTCCCTATGAGGACAAAGTTATCACCATTCAAGGGGATGACTACAGCCAACTAAAGAAACCAAAGGGCCAGCCTCTCTTTGAGGTCAACCCTGAACCCTGAATACTGCCAATGTTACCCCTTTCCGATTTCCAATATGACACCCGTGCAATTTCAATAGAGGGAAGGTACTGCAAGCTCTCGAATTCTCTTTTGATTTCGGAACATGCAAATAAACTGCATAGTTGCCTCTTGCTGCTGAAAGATGTCCTGATTTGCCCAAGAATGGTTATGGCAAGAATCCGGAAAGACATACCCCGCACTGCAGCATGGGAATGTCCGGTGAATGAGGGGATCCTATGACTAGGCTACCGAGCCTACTGATGAAGCATCGGCTGAGAGAAGTAGAAGGGGAAGGAAGGAGAGTATTAGATGCGGCCTTACCTTTTGACTCTGAATGGTTACTTCTGCAAACCGGGAGAACCGATTCCTTATCGTGGCTTCTAGGAACCATTCCGCTGCCCGGCATCTAAGAAGATGCTACCTGGGTTAGAAATATTCTTGGATGTCTGGGGCAACAAGCCCGGAACTATAACTGAACTGGAGGCGGAAGACTTCATGCAGCCAAGTCTCTTTGATGAGGTTGCAATTATCACAGGAAATAATGGGAATCCAGACATGCTCAATCTGATCGAGCCAAACGAAGGGCCTCTCAACAACTGGTACGCCGAGGAGGATCATGCTGCTGATAAACCCCCTCCTGAGTCAAACCTAGGACCAAAGTCTGTAACCGAGTCATGGATTTACTCTGAGTCTGAGACCGAGTCAGAGTCCACCTCTGAGTCGTCTGTGTCGGATCTGGAAGATCCAGATTTCAAATTTGATGTAATCTTTGAAGACGATTCCGTCATTATCAATAAAGGCTTACAAATTCTTGATTACCCTGCGTATCTATCTTTCCAAGCATTTCCAAGCAAAAATAATCAAATAAATGAAATAGAAAATGGAAAGGAAAAAATAATAATTGGCAAAGAAGAAAATGAACATACATACATTGCATCTGATTGTATGAATAGGGGACAGGTCAGTGAATGTTTGAAGAAATTTGTTGATTGCTTCATGTGGAAGTCAAGTGACATCACGGGAATCGACCCAGCAATAGTGGTGCATAACCCAGCAATAGTGGTAGCATAAGATTCCGGTATCCCTGAGACTAAGCCAGTGAAACAGAAGCTTAGAAGGCTGAAGACAGAATGGTCCCTGAAAATCAAGGAGGAAGTTGCCAAGCAACTGGAGAACAAGTTCATAGAACCCATTGCTTACCCGACATGGTTAGCAAACATTGTGCCAGTTCCCAAGAGGATGGAAAAGTCAGAATGTGTGTAGATTATCGGGATTTGAACAAAGCATGTCCGAAGGATGATTTCCCCCTGCCACACATTGACTTGCTGGTCGACCGCATGGCCGGACATGAGATGGTCTCCTTGACTGATCTCGAAGTCGGGTACAACCAAATAATGATGCATTTACCAGACAAAGAGAAAACGGCATTCATCACCGAGTGGGGAACCTACTGCTATAGGGTCATGCCTTTTGGACTCAAAAATGCCGGAGCAACCTATCAAAGAATGGCGGCACCAAGGACCGAAAAAGAAGTTCGGGGTTTTCTGGGAAGGCTACAGTACATCAGCCGGTTCATTAATCAATTGGCCGATACTTGTGGTCCGATCTTCAAATTACTCACTTCAAATTACTCAGGAAAGGAGTAACGGTTAAATGGAATGAGGATTGCCAGAAAGCTTTCGACCAAGTCAAGCAATACCTGCTATCCCCACCAGTTTTACAGCCACCAAGATTGGGAAAGCCTTTGTTGTTATACCTATAGGTGACAGAAGAGGCGATGGGTGCAATGCTAGCTCAACAAGCAGAAGATACAAGGATAGAAAACGCCGTGTATTACCTTAGCAAGAGGATGTTGGAATATGAGCTAAAATACAATAAGATTGAGAAGTTGTGCTTGGCTCTAGTCTGGGCCTGTACAGCTGTACAAAAGCTGCAGCACTCTCTCGTCTTACACTACATATTTATCTCCTGAATCTGGAACCCCTTGAAATTCCTTATGGAGAGGCCGGTTCTTGACTGCAAGATGGCTAAGTGGGTATCAGTGCTCGCAGCTTATGATTTGAAGTTTGTACAACGAAAGGCAGTAAAAGGTGGAGCCTTGGCTGACCAATTAGCAGAATTATCGATCGAAGACCAGATGCCAGAGGTAGAATTTCCTGATGAAGACTTGTTAAGCTTGGAAAATGAAGTCTGGGAGATGTACTTCGATGGAGCTTCAAACTACCATGGAAATGGGGTTGGTGTCGTATTCAAAACTCCTTGTGTAGAGTACGTCCCAATCGCAGTCAAACTAGATTTCGACTGTACCAACAACCTGTACCAACAATGAAAGCCGAGTATGAAGCTTGCATTAAGGGGTTGGAAGCGGCCCTAGAAAATAAGCAAAAAAATAAAAATCCTTAGGGTTTTCGGAATTCCAACTAATAGTTCTGCACGCCCTAAGGAAATTTTTGGGAAAAAAAAAATCAAGGAAGAGCGATTTGGTTTCCTTACCTTACAGGCTTGGATGAATTGGCTCAGCAGTTTTGAGGAATTAATTCCTTTCAATTATTTGCCGCGAGCCAAAAATCAGTTTGCATGCGCGGCTACTTTTATGCTTCCATGGTAAATGTAGAGGGAGACCGGGTTCATTCGACCTCTGATCAGTCCGGTTACAGATTAGCAGCCAGCAACATGTCATGCACTAGTCGACGACAAAGTCCGTGGTTAGGATATACAGAACTATCTCTTCAGAATGGATGCCTAACCCGGAGGGTCCCAAATAGACTGATCAACGAACGATTGAGACAGTTAGCAGCTGGAATGCTTTCCCTTAACCGGTGGGAATTCACTGGTATAGAGAAAAGTTGAAATGGCTGTGCACCTAAATGGTGCGTTGAAATGAAGGGGAGATAAATCTCAAGCCATTGATGGATTCGTACAATAAAGGGGGAATCTGGTCCCACACATGCCTCGGGATATGCCTTGGCTCGGGAAATATCATGAACCTGGGGCCTAGTTACTGGTCTGACCCATGAATAGATTGCGCGTGAGACACGCGCAAGGGACAAGCGATGTAGTGTCCAAATTTGCCAAACTGCAAAAAGCAGCCTCTCGCTCAACTTGAATCTCATCGCTTCACCATGGTGCCTTTCGCAACTTGGGGCATAGACGTGATCGGAAAGTCCATCGCAAGGCCTTCCAATGGCCATTCAATACATCCTGGTTGGCCTTGTTGATTATTTTCAACTAAGTGGAATTTGAGGCTTTCACTAAGTGGATTGAGGCAGCCTCCTATTCAGTCTTGAACGCCAAGAAAGTAGCTCAGTTCGTTCGTACCAACATCCTTTGTCGGTACGGGACACCCTTTGAGATCATCACAGATAATGGATCTCACTTTCAGAGTGAATTTTTGGAGCTACTAAAGCAGAGGAAGATTCAGCACCACAAGTCCTCGCCCTATCGCCCGCAAATGAACGGGGCAGTGGAGGCTGCAAATAAGGCTATAAAGGTCATTTTGCAGAAGACAGTTCAGAAGCATAGAGCTTGGCACGAACAATTATCAAATGCCTTATGGGGATACAGGACTTCAACATCAGAAACCCTACTGGGGCAACCCCGACTCCTAGTGTATGCGAATGGAGCAGTATTGCCTATCGAGCTGGAAGTTCAAGTCGGCAAGAATTAAAATCCGGGAAAAGCTAGATCAGCGCAGCAGATTGGGGCTGAGAAATTATCATTTGCAGTTTGGTATGGATGAAAAAACGATTGCAAGCATCCACCAACTCAAGTCTATCAAACGAAGAATGGCTAGACATTTTTAACAAGAAGGTCAGAAGACCGGGAAACTGGAAGAAGGTTGTTTGGTCTGAAAGAGATTAGATAGACAATCAATAGACCCACGGGGGAAGTTTTCGCCCTCATTGGCTGGACCCTATGTGTATAAAGAAGATAGTCAGGGCGAGCTGTTATTTGACTGATATGGATGGCTTGGGAATTCACTTAATCATAGTAATTTAGATCAGTTAAAAATTATTTCGTGTAAATTGTGATCACTTCGCATAATGTAAGATGAACTACATTAAAAGACCCCTTGATTCTGACCTGATTCTCTTTGGAAAAAAGAAATTATATATATCGGAGATATGTAGGCAGCCCTCTTTGGGCGCGGTCTAAACATTAATAAAAAAAAAGGGGAGCATTTTCATAATTCTTTCTTCTTTGCCGATAATAAAAAAGGAGAAGACAAAAAAAAAACAAAAAAACCCGCTAAGCTGAAAACCCAAAAAGGGCAGCTTAGGCAAAAATGGGTAAACCCGCTAAGCTGAAAACCCAAAAAGGGCGGCTTAGGCAAAAATGGGTAAGCTCGCTAAGTTGAAAACCTGAAAGGGCGACTTAGGCAAAAAGGGCTCAATAAATAAAGTTGGAAAATGCTTGGAAAGCACAAAAGCCAAATGACATTCTCAATTTAAGTCAAACAATCTGGAAGCAAGCATTTCAGATCAAAAAAAAAAAAAAAGGCAAGAAGCCCAATAAATAATAAAGTCTAAATCAGAGTCTCAAATAAAAAGGCAAAATATCCAAAAATTCAAAGCCAACACAGAAAGTCAAAACAACAATAAAGTCCAAAAGCCTATAGGGGTCTAAGTGTCCCGCCTCCTCCGTGGAGCAACATCCTCCGAGCCATCCCTAGCTGTTAAGCTTTGCTCCACCTCGCCTGTCTTAGGAGTCAGCACAATCTCCTCAGTCAGCAACAACTCCCTCCCCAGTCCAGCCTCATCACCAGTGTCAGTTCCGAACCGCAACCTTCGAGTGCACTCAGCAGGCGCAGTCCTTCCTTGGCTCATCAATCGGCCAGACAGTGGCAATGAACCAGGAACCAGGTCCGATATTCAGGAGAAGTTTGAACACCGGCAGGGTTAGGTAAAGGCCTAACCATATGATGATCTCTGACCCAAGCCCTAAGGACGGCCCGAGTAACACCCAGGGTAATGGCAGAATCAGCTGAAATGTCATCCATAAGTGGAGCAGTCTGATCTATCCCCATCTGTCTCACAACACGCGAAGCGTAGTACCAGGTACAATGGGTAAGTCCTAATAGGTAAACCCGTGTATGGCGGAAGCTAGCCTGGATAAAGCAGGTGATGTTGTACCAGGAGACGAACCACAGTATCTCATTTGGGCCCAACTCAATCAAAACCAATGAAGTCCATGCGTCCAGTAGAAGATATGAATCAGGATCCGCCGCATGAGCGATACTGAGAAAGGGTTATAAGGAAGGGAAGTAGGAGCAGTGACCACTCGAAGATGGGTTCTTTCAAACCAAACCTGAGTTTAATGGATCCTTTCTATTACAAGGGAATGAGAAAATAATACCAATATATGAAAGAAAAAGAGAGGGGAAAGGAAGGAAATACTCCTGGAGAATAATGGGGGAAACGGTCCAGTGCATCCGAACCCTAAAGTAGCCTGTCCAGACTCCTATAGCCTCGGCCAACACAATGCCCACCAATACAACCCATATCCTCATCTTGTCTCGAACCATGGGACAAAGACGCAAGTCCCCCAAAGCTGGGTCCTGCGTTGTAAATAAAAAGCCGGCCAATAAGCACAAAAAAACGCAGGGCCTACATCTTAAGCCTCATCCGGCTAAGGCGTCATCTGGGCAAGCCTCCGAAAAATTCATCAATCAGGGGGCAACAGAATTGCTCTTCTGGTCATCAACAATCATGAGCCCTAGCTGTGGGGTCGGTTGAAACTGAAACAGGGTTTTCAATCGACCTAAACAATACCCAGATTTTTTACCTCTGCTTGACCAAAGGGGCATTGGATTCACGGACCCTAAATACACAAAACTCCTCAAAGAGAGGGCACAAGCTCTTCCATCATGTGCCCCAAACCGTCAGGAAAAACGTGAGCTTCAGGTCCCAAAGTCTAATACAAGCCCGTAAAAAATCCAATCAACTACTACAGCCCCTAAGAGTAATAACGGGGGAAGAGACCAAATACTCCCCAAATTGATCTTTCAACTGGAGAGACTGGCCTAGTCCAAGCTGCTGCGCATGCTATGGTTGAAGAATGGGATTCATTGGTCCTATTGTTATTCTTTTTATTTCTTGTTATTAATTTATTGTTTTCCTAATAAAAATAAAATAAAATAAAAATACTGTAATAATAAAAAAATAAAAGAAAAAAAAAGAAGAAAAGAAGAGGAAGAAAAAAGACTGACCAGGTGTTCGGTGGCTTGAAGAAGGTGAGAATAAAAAAAAAGAAGAAAAAAAAAAACTTTTTTATATAGAAAGACGCACCCGAGGGCGGCTGTACCCGCCCTCTGAGGCGGGCGTATCCGCCAACCAACCAAAAAAAAAAATAATTTATTTTAATTTTTTATTATCATTTTTAATTTTATTTTTTTTAGTGCACAGAAGAAATGGGTACTCTTCAAGTTTTTTTTTTTTTTTTCACAGCAGGGCGAGCACACCCGCCGGAAAAAAAAAATTTCAATTTTATTTTTTAGTACATAGAAAAATGGGTCCTTTTCAATTTTCTTTTTTTTTTTTAAAAAAGAGGGGGGGGGAGAAATGTTTTATCTTTTTTTTATATATATAGTCATGCATACATATCTTTTCATTACTAACTGAGCGCAGGTACAAATAAAGTTCGGTACAGGAACATAGCCAAAGTTTAGAAATACAGCCGAGTTTCAAAAAAAAAAAATCCAAAGGAAAGCAGGAAAATCTAGCATCTATCCGTGGCGGGGCCTCCTACTCCTCTCTGATCATCGAAGGCCCGCAGAGTCCAGGCTGAAGTTAGTTCCTCCTGCATACCGAGAATAAGCTCCATCATCTGACTGACTAATCTGATAGGAACCTGAAAAAAAAAAGATTTTAGTCAGTATCAAGGCTCTTATGAATCCTTTTTTGGGGAAAAGTGTCATTAACCTGTACCTCAGTGATGTCATCAGGAGGAAGAGCGAGGCAATTCACACGCTCTAGAGAGACCTCCCAGAGAGACGAAGTGCCATTAGGAGTGTAATAGAGAATGCTGTATGGAAGGTGCAAATTGGCCAGGCCCGGATGAACCGGCTCGGTAGCCTCTAAAATAGCCTGAGGAATCCTGAAAGCACCAGCTGAATGGCTAAGGGCCAGCCCGAGATGGACCCTCCACCGGAGCGGAAGAAGAGGGAAGGGTCGTAGGCCTCCTCCTTGGGGTCCCTGGACGAGGGGCCTGAAGCCCCGAGAAGAACGGGTGGCCAAGCGCTTGGGGAAGGAGTCGACCTCGAAATTCTGTCGAGCCGAGATCATGGGGCCTGCATCAACATCTGGCAAAAATTCATCATAATCCCACTCCGGATAAATTCATATGTGAATGCCCGCTCAGTAATGGGCCTCGGTATAGAATCATCTGTTTGCCCGCATCGCATGTCCTTCAGGAGGGAGGAATGAGGGATGGAAACGGCAGCCCCTAATTCTGGAATCACTCTCTCGCCTAAATAAATAGGTCTCAAGACAGGATGTGACAAGACAACCCGCCGCCGAGACAAGGCCTCTGATCGCCGGAAATAGGGATCAGCCTCAATCAAACTTTGGAGTAGGGCATTCATCGCCCCGCCTCAACCTATGTGAGAGAAGTAAAAATGTGTTAATAAATCCTTTTTATTTCCACAGACTCAAGGAAAACTAAAAGGCACTCACCTGATCCATGGTGCAAGTATCGAAGAAGGTCCACAGGTCGCCTAAAGACTTCCGGCGTAGAACAGACCGGTGATTTGCTCGGTACCACCTCCAAGCCAAAGGTGCCAACCCTAATCCAAGGTCAGTATGAGTCAGCTCAGGTACTAACCCTAATCCAAGGTCAGTATGAGTCAGCTCTGGGCGGATGTAGGGAAAATACTCAAAAGCCCAAGTCTGCAAAACGAGATCAATGAAAAAAAAGAAGAAAAAAAAGAAAAAGACAACATAGAAGAGGAATATGTTCTTTACATTACCTCCCAGAAATAGTAAGTCCCGCTGAGCTTACAGTGGCCACGACTCAGATCGCACATGTCGTTATACATGCGGCTCAGAATAGCACCGGCCCAGTCGTACTCAGTAAGGTGGGTCAAGTCCTCCAAACTCTTCAGAATAGAAGGATTAAATTTCTCCTTCGACCAGAAGCGTCGAGGCAAAAAGCAGCAACAGAGTGATCTAGCTGCCTGAGTGGCCATTAAACTCTTCGCCTGCCTGTATCTGGCATATGATTCGGGGGCCTGGAGGTGATAGCCAGGTCTCGAAATACTCAGAACGAGGGCAGAAGAGCTAGGGGGATTGACAATTGGCGCAGATTACAATCCCGTATCAGACTCTTCATCCGAGTCGGGGTGACCTCAGTCCTCCAGGTCGATCATACAGCATCGATCGCCGAGTGCAAGGATATCCAGAAAATCAGCCGAAAAGTTCGGTCGCGGTTCATCGTCAATCTCCACACGGAGGAAACTGGAAAGTGTTGGTGGTGTCCCACAATGCTCTCGGCGCAGTGCACTCCAGTAGGCTTTTATAATTGCTGTGCTACTCAGCTGTCAGGTTGTCTTAAAATAGTCCAGATGGAGGGACTGATTTTATGGTTCTCCGACGGGGTTTTTATTGGTCGAGAATTGGTCAGTCGGGATCTCGGGCCATAGAGAACTCGCCCTAGCCATAGAAGACTCGC